ATTCAAACTTCACAATTAAACATAAAAACTTATTAATTTTTAACAGAAAATAAAATAAGAAACACTTAAAAATTCATAGAAAAAACAAAAAATATTTGAAAATAATTTAATGAGATTTCTGCTGCTGAATATCCTCAACTAATTTGTTAAATCTTGGTTCAATTGTTTGTAATGCTATCTGTATGCAGGCATCTAATTGCAATAGATTGCGTTTTTTTTGTTTTTATATTTATCATAGTTGAGAATGCTTTCTCACATAAATATGTACTAGTGAAAGGCAGCAAATTTTGCATTGGTTGTGAAAACGGGAGGATATTCTGCACGAATTTGTATCCAAAATTGGGACACACTTTTAGTTTTGAACATAGAATTCAAATTAGAATCTATATATATATAATCGAGACAAGTTATTATTATTATTGTTGTGTTTAGTGGGTTATACTCGGTTCACACCGGTGGCTGTGTACTATGCCGGACCAGAGTCAAGGCATAGCAACCGAAATATAACCAAAATTAAATAAGTGTGTCAGTGTCTGTATTCAGGAATTTCCTAACAATATGGCATGTATTCAATATAGTGGCCTTCTGTAGTGTTATGTATGTATTTCTATTCAATTGTAATGTTCCCAGGCTTTTGTGTAGTGTGTGAGATATCACACCTGTACAGGACAGAAAAACAGGTATGATAAGCACCCTATCCATCCTCCACAGATGCCTTATTTCCTGGACGAGTTCTGTGTACTTACTAATTTTTTCAGTGCATGTGTTTTGTACATTGTGAATGTTTGGAATGGCTATGTCTATAATGTATGTGGTTTTATTGTGTTTGTCAATGAGTGTGATGTCTGGTCTGTTGTGGTAAATTNTAACAGCATTGGACCAAAGAGAAGCCCAATAAGTTGCGAGTTCTTCTTCTGTTGGTGTGCCACTGTGCTGTGTATCAGTGTTTGTTTTGGTACTGATTTGTCTGTAGAAAAGTTTTTCATTGTTTGTGAATAATTTATTTTGTTGTTTTTGTAATGTACATGTTTTGTATCATTTGAGTCTACGTGCTTTGGCTGCGAGTTTTTGTTTTAGTGTATCGATGTATTCTGTAATGTGTGTTGTGATGTTCATGTTTTGTGTATATTTTGATTTTCTTGAAAATGTTTTTGAGTTGTTTCATTAATTTGGGTGTTATGTTGTTTTTAGTGTATTGTGTCAGCCTGCCTAATTGCTGTCTAATGTCATTTATTTGTGTTTCTATTCTTCTCTGCCAGGCAGGCTTATAATAGAATTGTGTTTTGTGTGTGTCTGTCTGTGATTGTATTTTCAGTCCATGGTGTGTCACTACTGTGACTACCGCAGCATAAACTAATGTATGAATGTCTGAGAGTGTAGAAATTAAATGGATGTAGTATAGTAATAAGTGAGTGTTTACATAATTTAGTATTTTTCCTACTACCTTTGACGTGTTGATTTTTGGTATTCGTGGTCTTTGTGTGAAATCTGTACCAGTATATTTAGTGAGTGTTTTCTATGTCTATGTTATCTATCTATATCTATGTTATCAGTAATAGATAAGGAAGTGCCTGAAGTGTCATTAGTGGTAGTTGTTGTATGTGTGCTATTATCAATGCTTGTTGCTGGATTATCCTGACAAGTTACATGGTCTTCATTAATGTTAAATGTTTCTGTCTGTTGATGTATTTGATCAGCAACTTGTTGTTTGATAAGTTCAAGTGTTGTTTGTGGGATAAGGGCGTTGTGTATAATTGTTCTTTTTTGATCAACAACCCTTTGTTTGGTGACAGTGAGGTGAGGATATTGTTGTGTGAATCTATGGTGTAGTTGTTGTCTGTATGCTGTCATATTTGTTTCGAGTTTCGTGATGGTGTAGTAAGTACAGATGATAAACTCGTTCATTTCTGATGTCCATTTCATCTGTTGGCATGGTTTTCCAGCTTTGTGGTCTGTGGATGCATTGCCACAGAAACATCAAGGCTAGGTTGATTCCTCACATCTGTTGAGGGCATTGCAGTAGCCATGCTTGGGCCGGCGCTGCTTTCGCCACCAGTAACCAAGGGAGACTGCGGCCTATTTTTCGAACGTGAGCCTCTGCCTAACCCGCGAACGTGGACCTCGTTAACCTGGGCGACGTCCGAACTGGTATCACACTTTGATCTGGTTACTACCATGATAATTATCTCCACAGAATGTGGATGTGGTCACTCTTAGCTTCATTTCTCCCCATAGACGTTACTGGCATGGGTGTCCCTACCAGGAGCTTATGCTCCAGCCTGCATTGCTCTATGGTTCAGTAAAATTACTGGGCTCTCCCACCATGACTAGGTGGTGACCACGGGAGAGTTATTATTATCATTACTAAAGCAATATTTTAATATAATATAATGGATGTATCATTATTACTGTTTTTCACTGTATAGTATATACAGTCAATTCTGTTTACCATCATTAATGGGTTAATGGGCACCAGTCTTGGCCACCAGTTAATTGGGCAGCCACTTTATTGGGCCAAATCTGAAAGAACAAAAAGCAAACTAATAAATTAAAACAGAATTTAATTGTTTAGTTGGGACAACTTTTTGCTTAATTGGGATGGTAGCAGAAAAAAAATTTAGCAAGTTTTGATATATTTTAAGGATCTTCCAAAAATATGTAGACACTACATACACTAATGTCATGTAGGCCTAACGATTGGCTGAGACAAATCGGCATATGTCTTTTGCTCCAGCAGTTCCATTTTTCCGATGGGGTCAGCATAACAAGACATATCACATGGGAATCCCATCTGAAGCAGACTTGAACATGAGCTATTAACCTTGTCTGTATTGGACCAAAACAATCCCCTTAAAAGCAAAAAGAGAAAGATCCCCAGACAATTTTTCGAGGTCTCTTGACAGAGTTGGAAGATAACTAGAGTTTCCTTGGAAGAAATTGTGTGCATGATTACGTCTAGATTTGGACAGCAGCCATCCGATTGTTGAGACCAGTATATGAAGCTGGCAGATTCTATGGATACTCCTGCCAAAGTGGCCCATTTCCAAATAAAAGAAATTGTGCTCAAAGAAAGACTGTAAGGTGACTTTTGGATGAACACTTTCCTTTCTCTCTTTTTAGTTAGAACATGTTCTAACTAAAAGGAATGAATCAAACGGTCAACCCTTGTGTATGACTATTAATACTGTATTTGGCATACGTGATGCGAATCCGTTATCTATCGTCACGAGCCTGGCAAATTTATAGTACAAATATTTTTTATATAGTACAAATATATATCAAATATTTTGATTTAATAAAGCATTATAATAGGTACTTAATTATTATTTTTAACCTACTTATTTATTTACCTGCATATTACATATTTTATTTTAGAATTTATTATTAGTTTGTTTAATTGGGGCAGTCGCTTAATTGGGCCAAAATGGATTAGTCCCAATGTGTTCCAATTAAGTGGAATTGACTATATATTCTGTATACTTCAAATTTTTGATAGTTTGAAAACTTGAAGTATGCAGAAATTAAGATAGAAGAATTTCTAGAAATTCTTCTATCTTAATTTAGCTACTATTTTCTATTGAAAATATAAAACATTTAGCTGTGTTCTAAGTGCAGTGTTTATTCTAGAGTTTTAATATTTTCCATTCCATAAAATATTATCTTGAAATTATTAGTATAATGAGTTAAGTAATGCAATCTTTTGTATAATATTACGAAATAAAATTATTCTGAAAAATTTCTCTTTTATAGTGGTTAACTTTTCTTAAGATAAAAAATAAGCTTTTCTCAAAGTTTGGATAATTGTCATTTATGTAAAATTTGAATAACCAGCATTCTATGCAAAATTATCTATTAATACATAAAATCAAACACTAGAAAATTTAATGATGGTACAGTGATACCCTGAACTTACGCGATAGGTGGGACCGAGCGATAACCGCTTAAGTCGAATTTGCGTAAGTTGGGGTATAATTTCGCAATTTGTGTAAAATCCAAGTCGGATGTATGTAAGCTAATAAATGTTCTTGTTAATCTTATCTCGTGTTTTGATTCATTCACGGTTACAAGAAATTACCATATAGTCTCCATAGATATAACAACACAGAAATAAATAACACAAAATAAATTGTAACTGTGCATCGATTACGCGCGACACATCCAAACATGTAAGCTGAACAATAGTGTGGGGGGAGTGAGTAATCAAGAGCTGCATGCCGCTCAAACAAAAGACGAATCTACGAGATTTCAAAATCGCGTATTTCCGGGTCCGCGTAAGTCAGGGTAGCGTAAGTCAAGGTATTACTGTATATAAAAATATTCATTACATACTGGAAGAATATTTTCAGATAATGTATTTTATTTATCCAATTTATAATCTTATTTAAATAATATTATAAATTGGTTATTTTGATATGTTTAGAAACATAATAAAATGCTAAATAAACTAAACAAACAAGAACTTATTTGATGATGGAAAACTCATTCACAGACAACTAATATTTTGCCAGATAACACAGTCACAATTTACTGAATACCTTCTTTATTTATCATAGAAATGGCACTAAGCAAATTTCTATGTTTTGTGATCATTTGTATGAAATTAATTATATTGGTATTATAATGTCAAAATGTTTGTTTGATTGCAAATAATATTTTAATAATCTTAATACAGTTTAAGATCGAGCTTAGAACATTGTCTAAAGATTAGAAAAAATTAATTTTGAAAATTTTATGGTTTGTGTGAAAAATTCTATGATAGTTATAATTATTACAGAAGTACTAATATTTAATAATAGTATTGATAACTTATTTTGTGAAATAAAAACTAATAATTATGTAACAATATCTAGTCTAAAAGAGAATTTAAATCAGCATTTGTCATTTTTAGATAAGTGATAATCTTTTTAATCATCATCAATCATAAAAAATGATTAAATTATAGCTTGTTTCAAAACTTTATTACTATAATTGCATGCAGTGACATAATAAAATAAACTTACTAGATTCATAAGTTCAGTTGTTTTCTTATCATATATTCCTGTAGAATTTGACCATCCTAAGGACCACTTCATTAATAAAGACCATGCTTTCTCTTTTTTTAAAATGCTATGAGTTATATCTGGTAACTTTAAAAGTATATCTCCAAAAAAGGCAGTATTTTCAACTGTTTGTGCTAAAGCTGAATTGAAATATTGTCTTAAAAATTCATATTTATGCACTTTTAAATTACCAATATTAATAAAATGTTAATAATAGTTAAATAATAAAGTTTTTATAAAATTTATATAGAACAACATTTAGATATATAAAATAATACATTAATATCCCTAATATATAATAATGTATTATATGATAAAGCATAAAAAAATAAAAAGTATATAAATTAGGAGATGAAAATAAATGCTAGAAATTTTCATTGAATTAATTTCAATGAAATTAATTAAATTAAAAAAAATAAATATAAATTTTTTAGATTTTCCTCCATAAATCTAATTAAACATAAATTAAGTTTAAAGTAAGGAAAGAAAAATCAATATAACAACACAAATGAAAAAATTCTAATATAATTTACTATTATAACAATAATTAATGCTTCAAAAATTAGAGTACTGGTTTTATTCAAAAAATAGTCATGAATACTGTTTTAAACTGCACATTTTCTCAGCTATTATAATTAAGGGTAGTTATTATTTCTTTTGAATTTATGTGTTTGATGTTCATTATTAGTAAAGTGTTTAAATATTTATTTATTAAAGTTCAATTTTTAAAGCAAATTATACTCAAAATGTTTATAATGATTGTTACTTTCTATGTACCAGCAATAAAAAAGTAATTAAAAAATATACTTGCTATATATTGCCCATCAGTGGGCTGAGTGGATAAAACAAATAAAAGTTGGGTTCACATCTTGCTAACAAGCTGGCAAAAATGGTTTTCTTAATATGTTTAACATCTAAATAAAAACCAGTTTCCTCTATAGAAAGTCCTTCTGGGAGCATACCTTGACAGATCACCTATTCATTGTGTTACCTTATTCCACCAATCCAATCCTACTGGATACTGTACTGAACACTTTACATATTTCATTTTCTATTAGTTTGCTTGTTAAATAAATACACTACCTATATATCACAGTTTACAGTAGCAATTAATTTTACATAATTTCTCTGTTTTCTATTTGAGAATGATTATCATTTCAAGTTTTAACGACAAGATACAGTTAATATTTGATGGTATTTACCAAGTTATTTAAAGGTGGTTATTTTTCAAATAAAATTAGTATATATATAACAAAATAAAGGAAAAATAAATAAATATAGAACATTGTTAGCTAATTCCTCAGAAATAATTAAAAAAAAAATTCAACTAAATACTGTTGCTAGTAAAATAGTTTAATAGAATACAAAAACAAAAAAAAACAAGAAAAATTTTACCTTTTCTATTAAGTAAACATTTTCCATGCATTTGGGAACAATGTATCATCTCTCATATTTATCATATTGTTTTAATTTTTATAAATCCATAGTTTCTGCTTCTATTCCCTACTTATAATGCCAAGGACAAAAATATAAAGGTATGATAGAATAAATTAGGGGATAAAAACCTATGCAAAAGAAAATACTACATAAAAAAACTACAGATTTATAAAAGGAACCTGAAACATAAGAGAAGCTGCATCAATACCAAATTCATGATATTTACTTTCAACAAAACATGAAGTTTTTCATGTATTTTGTAATTTATTTAATTCTTATTGGTTTGATTTTAATTTTTCTTTATTACAGTACTCCTGTAAGGTTTGAAAGTATAAAAAATAAGACTTCTTGAAAGAAAAATTAGGATAAGTTGGACAAATTTAAAAATAGCTAAAATCATCACCTTGAAGATGTTAAATAAAATATCAAGACAAAAGCAATCTACAGTATATTTACTTGATAAATTTTCTTCTCATTAACATGGAAAAGAAAAATAGAGTTAATTTAATATATATCTTGATTTTATTTACTTTTTTTTATTTAACNTGGTTTTATTCAAAAAATAGTCATGAATACTGTTTTAAACTGCACATTTTCTCAGCTATTATAATTAAGGGTAGTTATTATTTCTTTTGAATTTATGTGTTTGATGTTCATTATTAGTAAAGTGTTTAAATATTTATTTATTAAAGTTCAATTTTTAAAGCAAATTATACTCAAAATGTTTATAATGATTGTTACTTTCTATGTACCAGCAATAAAAAAGTAATTAAAAAATATACTTGCTATATATTGCCCATCAGTGGGCTGAGTGGATAAAACAAATAAAAGTTGGGTTCACATCTTGCTAACAAGCTGGCAAAAATGGTTTTCTTAATATGTTTAACATCTAAATAAAAACCAGTTTCCTCTATAGAAAGTCCTTCTGGGAGCATACCTTGACAGATCACCTATTCATTGTGTTACCTTATTCCACCAATCCAATCCTACTGGATACTGTACTGAACACTTTACATATTTCATTTTCTATTAGTTTGCTTGTTAAATAAATACACTACCTATCTATCACAGTTTACAGTAGCAATTAATTTTACATAATTTCTCTGTTTTCTATTTGAGAATGATTATCATTTCAAGTTTTAACGACAAGATACAGTTAATATTTGATGGTATTTACCAAGTTATTTAAAGGTGGTTATTTTTCAAATAAAATTAGTATATATATAACAAAATAAAGGAAAAATAAATAAATATAGAACATTGTTAGCTAATTCCTCAGAAATAATTAAAAAAAAAATTCAACTAAATACTGTTGCTAGTAAAATAGTTTAATAGAATACAAAAACAAAAAAAAACAAGAAAAATTTTACCTTTTCTATTAAGTAAACATTTTCCATGCATTTGGGAACAATGTATCATCTCTCATATTTATCATATTGTTTTAATTTTTATAAATCCATAGTTTCTGCTTCTATTCCCTACTTATAATGCCAAGGACAAAAATATAAAGGTATGATAGAATAAATTAGGGGATAAAAACCTATGCAAAAGAAAATACTACATAAAAAAACTACAGATTTATAAAAGGAACCTGAAACATAAGAGAAGCTGCATCAATACCAAATTCATGATATTTACTTTCAACAAAACATGAAGTTTTTCATGTATTTTGTAATTTATTTAATTCTTATTGGTTTGATTTTAATTTTTCTTTATTACAGTACTCCTGTAAGGTTTGAAAGTATAAAAAATAAGACTTCTTGAAAGAAAAATTAGGATAAGTTGGACAAATTTAAAAATAGCTAAAATCATCACCTTGAAGATGTTAAATAAAATATCAAGACAAAAGCAATCTACAGTATATTTACTTGATAAATTTTCTTCTCATTAACATGGAAAAGAAAAATAGAGTTAATTTAATATATATCTTGATTTTATTTACTTTTTTTTATTTAACAATTTCCTACCAAAAAAACTGTTTGTGTGTTTATCATTCATTAGTTATTAAAATAATAATCCTAGATAAGTTAAAGTCTTTATTTTTCAACATTTACAATTAGTAAATATGTGAAAACAATTTTAAAAAATACAAAACATTAAAAAAAATGTTAATTATAATATCAAATTAAATACCTTACAATATATTATGGTACAGGTAACCCCTGTATAACACGGCACTTCTATAGCACGGATTCTCTCTAACACTGTTCGAGAATTGGTACCATCCCCTGTATAACACAGTACTCTTATAGCACGGATTCACTCTGACACGGTTCGAGAAATGGGTAAAACCCTCGTACAACATGAAATGTAATAAATTTTTACATACTTAAGTACTAATAGTTCACGAAAATTATTATTTTCGTGAACTATTAGTACTTTAGTGTGTAAATTTTCTTATCTCGTCACCATACACATGGTCCTTCGTGAAACTTGTTTCAATTTTGCCAGATCTCAACGCTTCTGCTTCCGGTGTTGCCACATGTTTTTCCCTTATTCCATAAGTGCTTAGCACCATATAAGGAAATTTATAAAGATCTTTTAACTAGAAGCAAGCAATCTAAAATTACATACACTTTTTGCAAAAGGTAAAGCATGAATCTGAAAATAATGCAGAAAAATGCTCAGAGGATAACGATAACTTGCCAAAAATAAAACGCTCTCGGTTAATAGTGCTTTTAGTGATGACAAAGAAAACATTGTTTAATTTATATTAATATGTATCACTTAAGAAAATTTTAATAAAGATATTTATCTTAATTATGAAAATATAGTAGCATGTTTTTTAATTTTTGGAACCTAACCCTCCTTTTCGTACTAGTTCTTTGTTTCGCATAACACGGCAATTTTTTGGAACATAACTACCGTGTTATACGGGGGTTACCTGTAAAAAGTAAGAAGTCAATATTTGAAAACTTTTTTAGTCTCTGTTTAAAAGCTCTTATTGATTGTTTTTTTTTTTGTTTCTGTTTTGCAATTTTTCTGAAACCTTGAATATCAATCAAGTTAAAATTATTGATATAAAAAAAAAAGAAGTTTGAAGATTAGGTCTTAAAAGAGTAAGCAAGCATTTACTCCTGCAAAACAGCGGGGGCTGCAAACTTTTCTAATTTTTATCTTTCTCTACAAAGCAAAAATTAGAAAATTTTAGATCCAAAAATCACCTACTTTATCCTCTATCATGTAAACATTAACTCAAAATTACCTGTGAATGTGTGACTCCAAAATAGTGTTCCTTAAAAATCAACAATCAAATTAAAAATTACACCTTTGTCAATCCAGCAAAAATTTAATATAATAAAAACGTTTTCAATCATTTTAAATGATCATCAGTTACATTAAAAATAGAACATAAAATAAATATTGTTGAAGATGAAGATCATTCAAAATTATTGAAAATGTTGTTGTTATATTAAATTTTTGCTGGATTGACAAAGGTGTAATTTTTAATTTATTCTTTATCTAGTATAGTTCAACAATCAAATCTGAAAAATCAAGCAAAACTGAAGCCTAAATTTAATAAATTTTATGAAACTTGAATTGTGACTATTAAAAATGAATGTCTAATGGTGGTAAACATTACAAAAAGAAGCATTAGAATGTAATTTTACTGTATATTGAAATTCCACAATAATAAACTCAGCAAATTTTCTGCTTTTATTAGAGTTAAAAGTATATACAAAATAAAAGTACTTTAGTGTAA